TACTTAACACCCACAAAAAGGTTTACCCAGTAATGTGGCGTGAAATTTATAACTGCTTCTTATTATACCCACCGAAAGATTTATCGAGTAATGTGGAGTGACATTTTTATTTCTTACTTGTATGTTTACTTAGTAACCCGAAAAAGATATATGTTGATATGCATGATTAATTAAAATTTCATGAATGATATAATTAACAAATATTATATCAATAATGTGTTTTTATAAAAAATAAAAAATAAAAAAAAATCTAAACGGCTATTTAACGGCTAGTTTGTAACGGCTGTTTTACCATTCTATATATAACACTACACTTCACATATTAACACTCATTCCAAAATACTACAATACATTTCCCTCAAACGAGAAAACAAAAATGTTTCATCTACTATCTATAATTACATTATCTTTTTATTATATACGTTTTGCTAATTTTCCCAGGAGGCCCCATATTCACATCAAGCAAGCCCTAGTTCATTTACACATACTGGATATCCTCGGGGCTCTAATGATTAAACCGCGGGTTGTTCGAACCAACCAGGTCATTCTCGTGATGATGACAATAATGATAACCAAACCAACACGCACAATGGTGACTCAGGCGACGAAGACAAAGAGGTCAATGAGAAGCAAATGTTCGTAATCCAGGTACAATTGTCAAAATCGGAATTGGGTTGACCTGCACACATCACACATGTCCCATAATAATCGCACAATTTAGTTGAGTTTCGCGTTTCGCATAACATATCCCATAATAATCGCACAATTAGGTTGATTGTGCGATTCGCATAACATGTCCCATAATAATCGCACAATTTGTTGAATTCGCATTTTTTGAAAATTGCATATCCAAGTCAATCGCATAATTTACTAGTATGCGAAAAACTTTCGCATATATCCGTCAGATAATTGACAATTATGCGACATTTTTCGCTCGCATATTGAAGAAACGCATAACAAAATCGAATAAAGCATAATTTAATTGCGATTATGCGCCATTTTTTTGCATGGCAATTTTACCACTATTCGAGATTTGATCGCATATCTGTCGCATAAGTTACGCACCTCATTAATTGACTGCTTTTTCACATGTGAGGATTTTGTCTGTGCATTTATCATGCAGGAAAAAAATACAGTGATCTCTAATAATTCAACGTCTGCACCATTCTTCTATACTGCAATTTTCTGTTTCTTTCGTTTTAATTCCTTTTGTTGTTCACTTATTCGAATGGCTAGCACCCGTGTTAGAGTATGCGTGAGCTATGGTGGTACGTTTTCCGGTGGTTCATATCTTGGTGGAGTGGCAGAGCTGATGAGATTAAATTACGGCCGACAAATATATTTTGAAGTAGTTTCTCGTGTTTAAGCATTATTGAAGGCCGATCCTTGTAATTTTGAGTACATATTATGGGCAGTATTTGATGGAAGAGAACGAGTTGTGAAGATGAAAATCGAATCCAGTGAGGATATCTTAGAGCTGATTGAAGAACAAAAAACTCCCAACATTTACGTGGAGTTGGAGAAGCGAGTAAATGTAGGGATTTCGGGGACGGCGCAACAAAGCTTCACGCAAATGATGGCGTCCCAAGGTGTATTTCCAAGTTCTTTTGATGTTGGTAGTTCTGCATTTTTCCAGGAGGCCCCATATTCACATCAAGCAGGCCCTAGTTCATTTACACATACTGGATATCGCTGATGATCAAACCGCGAGTTGTTCGAACTAACCAGGTCATTCTCGTGACGATGACAATAATGATGACCAAACCAACATGCACAATGGTGACTCAGGCGACGAAGACAAAGAGTTCAATGAGAAGCAAATGTTCAAGCTTTTCAGGGCGTGATATAGTGAGCATATTGAAGAGCTAAGATTAATCACCGACTATATTGAGGTTGAAAGTCTTGCATATATGAATCGAGGTAGCACCCGACAATCCGACGTTGAGCCACGAATGTGGTCCCTTCCTATGCCACCCACGACAACTGGATCAGATGGACAACCCACCCAATTACTCTCGAACAATATAGAATTATCTTTGGGGTCTGTCTTTCTTTCGAAAGAAGAGTTGATTTGTGCCATCCAACTGTATCACTTGCAACAAAAAGTCGAGTGTCGAACACCCAAATCCTGCACTTCTAGGTTACTATCTATTTGTCGGTATGAAGGGTGTTCTTACAAGTTATGTGCAAGGGCAAATCGAGATGTATGGAGAATCACTACTTTGCAACTCGAGCATACATGCGAAGGGAGTTTGACTCACAATCGACACCGTTCGGATAACTCCAAGGTTCTCGCTCATATTTACGCAACAACTATTCAGAAAAATCCCCAGACGGTATCTACATGGAGAATTATTTAACAAATGGGGGAGGAGCATGGTTTGTCGATCAGCTACAATGTGTCCCTACGAGCAAGACACCGTGCTTCTGAAAAAGTTTATGGAGGTCATGAAGAATCATGGGGGCGACTTCTGAGTTACTTGCACATGTTGCAGGTTCGTAATCCAGGTACAATTGTCGAACTGCAACGAGCTGGCGAGGTATTCCAACACTTGTTCTTTGCTCTAGGAGCTAGCATTGAGGGCTTTCAACGAGCTGGTGTCCCGGTAATTGTGATAGATGGTACCCACTTGAAGAGAAAATACAAGGGCATTATGTTTGTTGTAGCCACATTGGACAGGAATCACCAAATCTTTCCCCTCGCAGTTGGCATTGGTGATGTAGAGCGTCGTGAGACTTGGAGTTGGTTTTTGACTCAATTGAAAAGGGCCTATGGTTGTCCTGATAACCTCCTCATCGTATCGGATAGACATGAGTCTATCATATATTCAGTCCCAATAGTGTTCCCCGAGGCGCATCACTCATTTTGCTGTTATCATATCACAAAACAAATGAGGCCTTTTGGGAAATCTGTCTTGGACATATTTTACAAGGCGGCATATTGTTATCGGCGTGAAAACTTCTATCGTTACTTGCCATCCGCCCGAAGCCTAAAACCCGAAGCATTTAAAAAGATAACTAATGAAATTTCGGTAAATACTTGGGCGAGGTGTTTTACACCTGTAAACTATGGATTCATGACATCCAATTCATGCGAAAGTTTGAACAACAAACTCCGTTGGGACAGGATGTTACCCGTTTGCTCGTTGTTGGAGTGTGTTCGAGCAACGATAGAGAAATAGTTTGATGTTCGGCGTGCATCTGCCGAGGGTCGCAATCATCCGCTAACGCAGTGGACTCAATTGCGGTTGGATCCTTTGTTCTAGAAAGGTCGTACTCTATCCATTACCACACTTGGCATGCAACGTTATAGGGTTACGGAAGAAACACGATCCTACGTGGTTGATTTAGAGGAAAGAACATGCGATTGTCGTGTGTTTGAAATAGATCTACTACCTTGCTTACATGCATCTACTGCTATTCGGTAATGTTCACCAAACAACATTATCTCTTTTTTTTTTTTTAAAAAAAAATGTTATATTCTAATATGATGTGCATTTACGATATGTAACAGGGAAGCCGGGTTAGATATAATGGATTTCGTTAATGACCATTACAAAATTGACATTTTAAATAGACATGTTTTATGTAATTTTACAGTGTTTTATATTTTATATAACATTTTTAATAAATTAATATAGATGAAATATATACATACTATTTTGTTATTTTTTCAATATATAAATATTATTTAATGAATAATTTTAATTTATAAATATTAATGAATTGCACGGGGTAGTAGTTTATATTGAATTTGTACTAGTTAATATTGAATGAGTGGATGATAAATTCCACATATGTATTTAGATGAATGAATAAAAATGTAAGTGTATGTTTAAATGAAGAGAGATTTAAGAGAAAGATAATACAAAGATGATTTAGATGAGAGAGAATGTTAATTTTGTTAATTTTTGATTAAATGAATTATAGGGTTGTGGATGCCTTTAGTCACCAAAACTTAGACGAAAACAAAAGCACACAAGTCTTGACAACTGGGTTCAGAAGCAGAAAAAAAAAAAGAAAAAAAAAAGTACTGTCATTTCATATAGGGAACTACATAACAAGACAGGGCATCCAATTGATAAGTAGAAGGAAGCCAAAACAAATTTATGATCTTCCCCGGCCCCTGAAACCACGACCACCGCGAGGACCACCTCTAAAACCGCCACCAACTCTGCCGCCTCTCGGAGGACCCCTTCCACCACGGAACCCACCACGACCACCTCTTGAACCGCCTCGTCCTCCCCCTCTACCAGATTGTTGTTGTCCCCTGCAAGAATAGTTTTCACATTCAACCGTATAACCCAAATGTGCAAATGAAAATCTAGTTTTAGGTTAAAAGACCAAGGTTATACAAATGGCCTCACTGTTAATTTGAGTTATATCACTACCCTGTTGCATACAAAAACATCAGCTTATACTAACAAATATCTCGAGAATGCATCCAACTATCATCACCACACTTAATCAAACTCTTAACAGCACCAAGAATCTGACAAAGAGGGTTCCAGGGACCAAAAGTCATGATACACAGCCAAGTTTCAAAATGTGCTAATCTAAAGACCGTATTCCAGGCCAAGAGCCTCACATGTAAGCAAATCTCAAGAAAACATGCAAAGTATTAGAGTAAAGGGTAGAGAAAAATTCAAAGCAGGAAGCATAAGTTAAACAAGATTATTCAAATCCCCTTAAACAAAAATCTTTTTTTCAACCTTTCAAGGCTAGTATAAACACTACAGCAAACAAATATATTGATACTTAATAGACATAATCTAGAACAGCAAGCAAGACATATTATTATTAATCAGGTAAGACGAGCTTTTAGGCAGAACATAAATCTAGTCCAAATAATATAGTACAAAACAAGCCTGCGGACAGAAAACATACTTTGGCTGGGGAAGAAATCTTGCAAGCGGCAAAAGCTTAGCAGGGTCAATGAAGAATTTATCTCCAGGAGAATACGATGTAGCCACAATGCCCTCCATCATCTTAATCGAGAAGTACTACAATTTCACAGCAGAAGATCAACACAAGAAAAATGTAAACTAATTTATTTTTCAATCACGAGCCTATAAATATCTGTATATCACCCTAATGATGTTATGTACTCACCGATTCATTGATGGGCCCAAAAATCTCATCGACTTTACCGATCTGTGTCTTGTTCTGGAGGTAAATCGGAGCATTGAAGTATGGTATTTTCTCATTTGTGAGCTTCGTGACAGCATCACCTTCACAGGCATGAAGAAATGTAGCAACCTCTGCACACAGATTGAACAATATAAATAAAAAAGAATCAATTTTGTAGATAATTTGAGAGAGAGAGAGAGAGAGAGAGAGAGAGAGAGAGAGAGACCAACGACTTCAGATGGAGGGCCTTCGTCGCGAAAAGATCCACGGCCACCGAAACGGCCGCCACGACCGCCTCCGTCTCTACCACCCCTGAATCCGCCGCCACGACCGCCCCCGTCTCTACCGCCCCTGAAGCTGCCGCCGCCGCCACGTCCCCTCGGAGGTCTCATGTTGTCTTCAGAGTTGTGAAAACTGATAAGGGTTTAGGGTTTTTGAGCATTGGAGAAATGAGTGCCTGATATAAATCTATGGTTCACGTGGCCGCTTGTTTGGGCCACGCCCTATGATTTGGGCCTATTCAAGACTGGATTTGTAAAGTGCCCAGTAATGGATCGGCTTGAAGTTTGTACATTGTCCAATAATAGGGCATGTAAGTAAATGGGGAATTTTTTTATATACCACAACAATATACATATTTTGCAAATTTACGAGATCTCATATCTTATTAGCAAGGATACTAAATTGAAGTGCATTTATTGTGTGGTGAATTCAAAACGTTCGGATTAAAAGGAATCACTCCTTCCTACAATCATGCATCATGGAAATTTAGTTGAGAAAAAAAAGGAAAGTGGATATAATTTGAAATTCTAGAATATCACTATCTCAAAATACAGAAAAAACACGACAATATATACAACTCATCAAGATCCGACAGACGCTCGATGGTCATTGTTGCGGTTTCGGGTCTTAATCCGGGTATTGGATTCGATTTAAGCAGTTTAAATATACAGAAGATATACAGAAAATATACACAAAAGATATAAATAAAAAATAAATCAATCTAGTCATTATATACCGAAGATATACATAAGATATACACAGAAGATAAACGAAGTTTGTCACTGTATACTAAAAATATACCGAAGATATACAGAAAAATAAACATAAATTTCACTGATAACCGATAATAGATATTTTTCACTCAACAAAGAATATTTTCCGTATATGTTGCGTTTATATTCTATATATGTTGCGTTTTTCCAATGATAAGCTGGGACGCCTTTCGTCTCGTTACGCCGCCTTGGACAAACTTCTTCAGTGCTCGACCCTCCGCCGCCGGTGCCCAAAATCAAGTTCCCACCGCCCTCAATTCGCCGATCCCGACACTCATTAGCCAAAAGGGACCGTCGCACGATCCTATTCATCCTTCAGCCATCGAAACCGCCTGTTGCCGCGCCACTCCCCCCGCTAGTCCTCCATCAATGACGATTCATTTTTTGAGACGCTGAAAAGAGAAGAAATAACGTCGGAAGAGACGTAAGGAGAAGAAAAAATGGCTGGCAGATGCGCCATCTGTAAAAAGAGAGGATGAGCAGTGATTAGGCGTGAAAGGTGGAGATGGTTTTTATTTTATTTGGTAACTGCTCCTAATAAAGTTGTCTTAATTGAATATATCGTATGTATGTAAATAAAAATTATATGATCGTAAGAGTCCAATTAAAAGAAGATTGTGTGGTGCCTTGAGTAATTATCTCTAAGTAAATAGAAGGCTAATTTACATACATATAAGACTGGTTGTTAAATAATTACAACCTACTACATAAAAATTTTATTTGCATATCTACGTAACTATAGACACGGCACATCTCTTTCTCTTTCCTCTCCCTTTAATTTTTTTCTTCTCCCCTAATTTTTCTCTCGTTTCTCTTTCTCTTTCCTCTCTCATTAATTTTTTTTTTCTTCTTCCACGATTTCTTCCCCCTTTCCTCTCTTTAATTTTTTTCTTCTTCCCCAATTTTTTCCCCGATTTCTTTTTCTTTCGGCTCACTTTAATATATACTGAATATATAATCATTATATACAGAGACATACACATACATAAATAAACCAATATATCATTATATACATAACAAATTATATACAAAATATATACTGAATATATAGTCATTATATACAGAGAGATACACATACAAAAATAAACAAATATATCATTATATACAAAACACATTATATACAAAATATATACTGAATATATATTCATTATATACAGAGACATACATATACAAAAATAAACCTACATATCATTATTATATACAGGATATATACAGAATATATACTAAAAAAGTAAAATACATTACACATCAATGAGTTGTTGGGTTTGGCCACAACACCAGATCCAGGCGTCGGGTTGTCACATGTGACTTGGCCGCCCTCGATCGAAATTCGCCAGCCCGCTTGTCTGCCTCTCCGTTGATGGTTGTCTCCTGTGTCGGGTTGTCACACGTGGCTTGCACCTGATGCTCGGAGTTGCAATCGCTCGCTGCTCTCTATTACCGCCCACCAATTATTACCTTCTTGAGCTGACGGTCGTAGCCATTGTCAAACTTGGAGTTACACGGGGAGGATTTTTGGGAGAGGGACAAATTAGAGAAGCATGAGGAGAAATTAGAAAAAAAAAGAGAGATTTTAGAGAAGAAAGGGAAACTAATCATCTGGGGAGAAAAAGTGTGGAGAGAGGAAGATAAGAAGAAATTAATTGTGGTAGGTGTGGTGAGTGTCTGGGAAAACGAGAAATAAGGGGGAGAAGAAGAGAATAAGAAAGGAGAAAAAGTAGATAATGTATGTGTAACAATCGTATATGTACAAATATTTAGGTTATCTGATCTTCTTTTGCTAATAAAATATTTTGTTCGTAGATATACAATATTTTATGATTAAGTTAGTATGTAGGGTAATTATCTCTAAATAGAAGTTTACATGGCTAAGAAAATCAATAATGAATTCATACAGTCCATGTTAATGGAATTTGGGAGCTGTTTTATTATGTTGTCCATAGGGGAAAAGTTCCCATTTAAAGACCAGAATAATTTCATTTCATTGGATAATTAACACCAGAAATTCTATGGTGCCACAACATGATGTGGCACATTATGATTGGTGCCACAACTATCACACATCATGTTGTGGCACCAATTATAATGTGTCACATCATGTTGTGGCACCATAACATGTGCCACATGTGGCACCATAGAATTTCTGTAATTAACACACATCATGACTTGTGTTATTTATCCAACAATGGAACATACTTTTGGAATAAAAATTCTCATCATGTACATAGAGTTATTAAATGAACGAGTCGCTCGTAAGCTCAATTCGTCTAAATTAATTAAGGCTCGAGTTTGTCTCTGACTGGAAAATAAGTTTTTTCTTTTTTTTTTTTTGCATAATTTCTTGAACTTTTAACATAACTTGGTTCATTAATGCTCGAGCTCCACTTGTTAACTAGGAGAGTTTGAGTTCATCCATGAGTTAATGAGCCGAGCCGATATAGACTCGAGCCTAAGCTCGAGTATCAGAAACATGAGCTCGATCCCGATCCGGATCATGTATAGCTCATGACCTCGGCTCAGCTCCAGTTGGCTAGTCTATAGTTTGAGTACTTTAACATGTGTATATATCTCATTTAGAGTGTGTTTGTAAGCACCATAAACTAGCTTTAATTACCTTATAAGCTTTAAGTATATAAATAAGTTTTGTTTGGTAGGATCGGCTTCTCTTAAGAGCTCTAGCTTATTTGGGTAGCTTTTGAAATAAGCCCGTTATAAATTTTTATTTCAGTTGACTTATCAACTAATTTTACTGAACACTTTTATCATATAAGCTAGATTTTCAGCCATAAGCTATTAGCTATAAGTTCGAAATTTACTTGTAACCTATCAAGGTATCAACTAGTTTTACCAAACATAGGCTTAATACATATTCTATATTAGAAAAAAAAAAAATGGGAGGTAACAAATAGTAGAAAAATCAGTGGTTACAATGTTTATGTCTACCTGTAAAAAGATGTGATGGGAATTTCTTGAAATGGCAAAGAAGGGGAAACAAGAAAATTAAAAATAAAAATAAAAAAAAAATAATAAAAAAATGATAGGGATAGCATGACAAGCGGGCATGTAGCAAGCAAAAAAGACAGGCAAATATGATGTTATCTTATGTTAATGTTGTTATGTAGTTTATTATGTTCAAAAAACAAGGGGCAGTTAATTAGCTGTGTGCATTAATTTGGACCAAACATCCCTTTCTTCGGTCACCATTTGCCTGTTAGTTAACCTTTTCTTGCTTATTTATACCCTAAACTATTTTACCTTTTCATAGCAACACATTTATATCCTTTCAAATATATCTCTCAAACTCAAACCAAACATAGTAAGTAGTAATTCAGCTGAGTATATATACAGAAAATGGAAGCATTGAAGATGAAGGCTTTCTTGATAGTCGTGGTGATGGCCGTGATGATGGCGGCCCAAAATGCGGCTGCTGAGGTGGAGGCTCCTGCCCCGGGCCCATCAGCTGATGCCTCTGCGTTTGTACCGGCAATCTTCGCTTGCGTTGTTGCAGCTGCACTCGGATACCTCGTCTGAGCCGATGATGATCAACATACATTGGAAGGAGGCCATTAATGCCAATTCATGTTTACCAGTTTGTTTCTTTTTTTTTTTTTCTAATTCGTACGGCATTCAATTTTATTGGCTCCCATTTCCTATTGATTCTTTTACATTAATGTAATCGATGAGCATGTAGATTGTGTGTTCCCGTCCGTTATTCACTTCGTATATATAATAATAATAATAATAATAATAATAATAATAATAATAATACTGCTCTCTCTATTCGAATATTGAACTATCTCCATCCATCTTCTTCCATTGTTTTGTGTTTCATTGATTGATGTTGTAAAAAGATGCGAATTTTAAGTGCAATGATAGATTTTGCAAATGGTTTGTTTGTTAGAAGATTAATTTGTTTGTTGTCCTTATGTTTTGCTTTCTTCTTGTTTTTCCACCAAACCAACCATATGAAGCTAGCTAGTGTGTTTTGAGTTTATTTCTGCAAAGAAAACAATCATGTTGAGGATGAAGACATTTTGGTCTCTATTAGTGTAGCCAGATGATGAGACTACTTAAATCTCACTGTGTTTTGTGGAGGAAAAAATCGACATAATGTTTTGTCATCTTTTATGAGTAAATGGATCGAAAATGGAAGGTAAAGCACAATTCTTTTACCAGCCAAGAATCACAGGTTCTTAGAATTATGTAAAACATGCATTCACTTGGACCCGCTATTGATCTCGACTTTGAAAACAATACTTCGTTTCGTATTCCATGATCTAACCCATCAGCCTCTTCCTTTAACCCAGCTGAGGCAACAGCAAAAACATCATGCAAGTGAACCGAAATGACATGCAATAAAACAAAATAGATAAAATCTCAAACAGCAGCACATAAATTCAAACAAACAAAATCTCCAAGGTTCTGCAGCAAATACATTTTATGTCATCCATAGTCTCCGACGTTAACCGACACTATTCTTATAGCTCCCCTAAACAAATCGAAACATATCATCCAGACACAAAACAACATATTTCTGGAAAACTCCACCGACACTCAACGGTTGGCCTTGGCAACCCTCTCAATCTCATCCTTCTTCTTAATAGCATAGCTGCAGAAACAAGGAAGCCATTCAACATGTTAGCTTTACAAAAAGCTAGAAGCCAGACATATTCTTGGTGTAAGAAAAACTCAGGAATCATAGCTCACCTGTTTGAAGATCCTTTGGCAGCATTGATAAGCTCATCAGCAAGACACTCAGCAATGGTCTTAATGTTCCTGAAAGCACTCTCACGAGCACCCGTCGTGAGTAAGTAGATGGCCTGATTCACACGTCGCAGGGGAGAGATATCAACGGCTTGTCTCCTCACAACTCCAGCAGACCCAATACGGGTGGCATCTTCCCTTGGCCCACTAATAACATCGACAACCAAAGAAATATACACTTCATCAATTAATCTTGCCAGTTCCCCAGATTTTAGCATCAAAAACATCAATCTCAACATGATAAATGTACACATGCGAGAGCAAACCTGTTGATAACAGCATCAACAATGACTTGAATTGGGTTCAGATCAGTCAACAGATGGATGATCTCCATAGCATGCTTCACAATCCTAACAGCCTTGAGCTTCTTCCCATTGTTTCGGCCGTGCATCATGAGGGAGTTGGTCAGCCTCTCAACAATTGGGCATTGAGCCTTCCGGAAACGCTTTGCTTGGTACCTTCCAGCAGTATGTGGCATGTATGTGGGGTGCTTAGCTGCTGTTGCAGTTATGTAATCTTCCACAGAAATGTCACTAACCTGAAATAGGGAAAAAAAAAAAGTACAAGATCATGTTCACGCACGCCTGGTTACAAGAATAAACCGCATAAATAAGACCAACGCTACATGTCAATGTTAAATATCATTCTTGAATATTCCCAGTCTACAATTGATACAATCTCTGACAACAAGTGGTGGGTTATAATTTTATAATCCACCTTTAAGTTATCATAAATGGGTCGCAAGTGCAAGCTTAATGCACTATAGTTGGTTAAAGTTTGGAGACTTTATAATATGTGTAGGCCATGATTGACAGTTTTTTTACTTTGACAATAATTCTTGTGGCATCATAAAATATTACAACGAGAACACTTGATAGCTTTCACTTAAACCAAATTTAATGATCCAAAACTAAAGCAATTTACTCTTACATACATAAAAATAACAGTTCTGAGTTGCATTGAATAACAAAATAAGAGATTCCTAAACCCAAATCAGCAAAACTTGTCAAATTCAGCTTGACGGACTCATAGCTTCAAGCAATGTGTTTCCACATATGAAACAATCACTTTGTCCAGATTTCAGCTAAACAAAGCTAGAATCCAACAAATAAGCCAACACACAAAATTACATGAAATCAAATTAACAATCCACATAAAAACCATAACAAAGAGAACATCATCATGCGTTCTATTCTACCTTCCCTTAAAGATCAAAACTTTAGACTCATTTCACCTCAATCATTTATACAAGACTATGAATCATGAAGAGGGTACACTCAAAAAACGTCTAGATTGAAATCACAAATTTCAAACACAAACAAATCAAAGCATCATAAAGATAATTAGCTAAAAGAAGAAAAAGCTGACCTGCACTTCATCATAGGGCCAGCGGTTGAACAGCATAATGCCGCACTGAGCCTTTTCCACCTCGGTTACGGGGGCCACCACCACCTCTTCTGTCGCCATGTCTTCTTCTTCTTCTTCTTAACCTGCTCAAACCCAAACATAACAAAAAAAAAAACCAGAAATCAGCTGCTGCTAAGAAAGATCCATACAAAGAATTGCGCAAACAGTTAACAATATAAGGAGGAAACGAAAAACACGAAACTCTTCTTCTAAAAGCTGGTGACGGCGTTGGCCTCTGTAGGGAGAGAGCAAAATGAGATGATGTAGAGAAATGAAAAACCCTAGCGGGAGCTATAAAATGACTCGTGGGGGGATGTGTATGAATTGACTATAATACCCTTCTTTGATTTGTGCACTCTCGGATAAAAATGTTGGTGGGTGGGCCTCTATTCTACAACATGAGCCCAGTCAACATGTGGAAAGCCCATGAAGTAGTACTCATTTTTATCTCAAAGCTTGTATGAATGCATACATTCGAAAAAACACAAAATATTAACTACATCGTGATATAACTAGAGAGCTATTCAACTTATATAATTTCTTGAAATTCAGTCTAGACTCGAGCTCGAAACTCATAATGTTGTGAAGTTTGAAATTAAAATTCGAGCCAAGTTTATACATATAAATCAAGAAACTCACTTAATTACCTCATTAAAACTTTGTGATCTTTGAATTATATATACACCGTATAGGATATGATAATTTGTTTACCATATCAATTAACAGATCAGTAGTCGTATTAACTCGTGTCGGACATGGGCACGAGAGTCAAACTGTTAGGATGTATGTATGCGTGCGTTACTAACAGGAAAAATATTAAGCATAAGCATACAATTTGCTAAAGTATAAGATTTCGATGAAAAAGTTAATATTGGTCGGGGAATTTTCTATAATAAATAAATGTGTATTGCTCATCAATTAGATGATCCTTTAGTCACTTCCCTATATTTAGTCTGAGTTTTCATCCCGAGCATGTGCGGCAGAATGATTTTCCTTCTTGGCGACTGAATTTGCATGCTCCTCTGCTTCGGTAGGTGATTAAACATGCTCGTATTTAGGTGGTTCGCTTATATTTTCCTTGGATGGATTCTCAAGAAGTAGCACGTCGGCTTTGCGAAATTCTGCTGAACTGTCTCCTCTTGCTAGACGTGGTGATTCATTAAAATCTTGTTGCACAGCGGCTGATGCAACAGAATTTTTGTTATCAGGTTCCAACTCTAACGACGGCTCAGTAACACTGCTCGTAGGCTCCACTAACTTTTCCTTTTGCTTTTCTGATTCCTTTACATTTCTATTTTCCATTTCCTCTTTCCTTTCCATTTCCTTTTTGTTCTTCTCTTCCATTTTGTTCTCGTTTTCGTCAACCTTTTCCATTTCATTTTCATTTTCCATGTCCTTCACCTTTTCTTCTTCCTTATAATCACTGAGTTTTGGGGGTGGGTTTGCCTTTCCCATTTCCTTCACTGTTTCCATTTCCTTCATCTTTTCTTCTTCCTTTCCATTTTCCATTCCCTTTACCTTTTCTTCTTCCTTATAATCGCTGACTTTTGGGGGTGAGTTTGCAGTTTCTGTATTTGTTCTTAGAGATTCCACACTGAGCTTTTTGTTTGGTGAGGCGGTCTTCTCATCCTTTTCATCCTTCTCATCAGTCAAATCATTGACCTCATCGTCGCTCTCTGCAGCAGTCTTGAGTTTTAATGGGCCAAGCTTCGCATCGAGATCCTTAATTGCAAAGGTTAGGGATCGTACATCACGAGCTGCTGCTAGCTTTTCAGTAGAAGCTAACTGCAATAAGGTAATTCACAAATGAAGTGGGATGATAGCAGAGTATTAACAAAAACAAAATGCCAATATTACATTAATCAGAGGCAGGTGGTAAGAAAAATACTGAATAATAGCTTAGGTTGCCAATAAAGGTACATTTTTTTGTTGAGAACATATATAATCCTGAAGCATCACGTTAAAATGTGTACATTTTCTTTACGTGGACTGTTGGTGTTAAAGCATTTCTTTAAATTTTAATAAACTACTCCGATTAGAGCCTCTGGGTGTGTTGAGCATGTATACTATCATTATTAAGCATGGAATGACCCGCAGAAGAACGATGACGACCACAATGAAGTATTGATCACAAGTTCGGAAACTTACAGACTTAGTTCTACTAATGAAATTCGTAAAAGCTACTGCACAACAATTGTACACACTGAATAACAAAGACAAGTTATCTCTAACTAAAAAGGACTTACCTTAGTAAGTTCTTCAACTCTTTCCTTGAGATCTTCTGTCTTCGCTTCCTTGTAAACAAGCTGCAGAATGCATATCAAGTGAGCGTCGAGACTCTCCGAACGATGCTGCTCGATTGTACACTGAGGAATCGAGGAGTGACAACCAACTGAATAAAAGGGGCATTTCACCAGCTTCATAGGGCACACTGTTATGCAGTGCCTATCCATGTCGCGCCTCATTATACTCTCTGAGCAGTTCTGCTCACATTGAATTATCTTGAAGGGACACGTCTGGTCGTGTTGCTCCATCTGAGCAGCACTAAACCTAAAATTGCACCCCTCGTTCAGGCAGTTTATGGTCCTAAAACTACAATTTAACTTATGCGCCTCCAATTCTTCTTCAGATTTAAAGCTCAAGCTACAGTGATACATGTTGTTGAAATCTGCGTTTTTCAGAATAGTGTGAGCTACAGATTCCCTCCGGTTAAGCAACCAAAAGCCACCAATCTCCATTTCCTGTGAAAAATCATCTATCCTGTCTTCCCTTCTTTCACTCAGCAACCATCCCGAAACCCGGCTGAAAAAGTTCCTCTTCGAACTCGCAAAATCATCTATGAAGTCAGAGATTATATCATAAGGGTCCTCAGGAAGGTCAATGTTGGGGCCGCCTTCTAACACCACGGACTCGACCACGAAATTTTCGCTCCTTTGGGTAAGATAGTCGACCATCTCCCTTCGTATGTCTACTGCCACGGAAGCCGGGCTCCGGAAGAGGCCTCCGGTCGTGTTGTCGACACATGCAGAAGCCAATCCAGGGAGGAACTCCTCGGCTATTTTGTGCACAATGTCCGCATCGTAAAGGTGACAGTGGAACAAAGCCCCTCCCTCCTTTTCTTCCCCGAGCTTCTCGGGAGTCAATTCAGTGTCATCAGCTGGGGGATTCATACTGCACAATAAAATTAAGAATTACGTAAAAATTGTATGATCATGTCCAAAATGCACAATTCTTGGCAGACAAGTAGTTTGTTTCAAAATTTGCTATGATTTTCAAACACGAAAGAAGCATTTGTGACGCTGACAGTAAACAAAACAGCAGTGAATGCGTGCAACAGAAAACACATTATAAATTTGCTATTCAAATCACAATCAGATCAAGCAATATGACCAAATAAAAACACTATGTCATTCCTCCACCAAATTGCTCTATTTGCAAATTATTATATCGCTATCCCATTGAAAACTCTCAACGAAACTATAAAAATTTGGCAAATACACATTCAATAACGTCAACCTTCAAAGAGTTTAGTTAGCTTCTAAAACAAGAAACAGAAAGAAAGAGGGCGAGCCGATCCCTTGAAGATGCACAGATCCAAAATGCACGAATTTACGAAAACATATCAAAATCCAATCAGAAAAAAACACCGAACAAAAACGTTGATCGTGATCGAAAGGAAAGAAAGCTGACACACACACACACACATATATATCTCTACTATACATATAAGAAGAGAATGAGGACCAATTGTGGGCTTGACACATGTCTTTTTGGGACAAAAATGTCCTTCCTTTTATTCTGTACTGGTATGTATCCCGTGCGATGCACGGTCTGTATTTATTTTGAGAAATATTATAAATTTAAGTGTATTAATAGTTCAACTAGTGATAATTTGTAGGGAACTTGTCAAATAATAAAATTTTGCACGTGAAAAAATAATATATTACATGTTTGATAATTGTGCAACGCGTCGTCCTTACAAACAAATATTTTTAACTCTTTTCTATTACTGATAAATGAAACAATATATAATTGGTCGTGACTAAACACGATTTATTCAAGAACATGCCAACGCATGGTAAAGATGACTCTGACTCTTATTTATATATTACTTACACGTGAAATAACATATAATTGGTCGTGACTAAAAACTAATTTCTTAAGAACATGCCAACACAAGATAAAGACCGACTCTGACTCTTAATGGAACCTTATGATCAGAATGAACTGGTGCTGCTGGAACTTAAATGGGACCTAATATGGATCTTTTTATCCCTAATATGAATCTTTTTATAATATGATAATTTGTCTGCAGTTCGACAAATGAGTTGTTAGTTTATTATTTAATATCAGTTATACTTCGAAATTTTTTATACTTTTTTATCTTGTTTAAAATAACATTAAACATGTATGTTTAAAATATTAAAAACACCTAAACTGTTATATAACATATGTAAGATTATCTAAAATATTCTATATTATTCTTAAAAAAATAGGAGGTCACCTAAATTTTTTCTAAATTATTTTGTAAGTAAAGCATGTCTAAAAAAGTTTAATGAACATGATCCTCTCTCTCTCTCTCTCTCTCTCTCTCTCTCTCTCTCTCTCTCTATATATATATATATATATATATATATATATATATATATATATAACATGTTTAAAATATAAAAAAAATATTACATGTGAATAATATGTGTTCAATTTGTGTCCAATTTGATTACTCTCTTTGTATTACTTTGAAATGAAATCTTTACAATACATTTGTTTCTTTTAAATTATTATTTAAGTTGTATGTACGACATAATCGTATGATAAAAAAATAATATTTTTGCGTTGAAATATGCGATTTACTTATATGTATATAAAAAAAATGTAAAATAATTTTTCATTAAATATTAAATTTTGTATTATTCTTTTTTATTATAGCATTCTCATTTAAAATATTGTTACCATGGTTAGTGTAAAAATATTAACAATAAAAAATTGTCAGGTTTAAAAAAATAAAAAAGAAAAAAAGAATTTTTCATGATAATGAATTTGTGTATATCTAAATCATCCTTGTGCTACAATACCACAGTCCATCCCCATAAACTTTTGTGACCAATTTCATTACTTTTTTTATAACTTTAAAATGAAATCTTTACAATATATTTGTTTCTTTTAATTATTATTTAAGTTGTATATATTGCATAACTATATATTAAAAAAGTAATAATTTTACGTTGAAATATGTGGATTATTCATATGATATAAAACTTGTAAATTAATTTTTCATTAAAGATTAAATTTTGGGATTTTTTTTATTTTATTTTTTATTTTTGTTGTAGCATTCCCATTTAAAATATTGTTACCATGATTAGTGTAAAAAATTTGACCAGAATAAGAAAGATTGTCACGTGTAAAAAAATTAATAAAAACAGAATGTTTCCATAATGAATTTGTGTATATCTAAATAATCATTGTGCTATCCATTTGAAAAACGTGTTGCATAAGGGAAGGATTGACTCAAAAGTGAATTTGGCAAAATAAATGACAACTCCATTTCCTTTTTTCACGGCAATCTAACACAAAAAAAAACTGGATTTCACAAAATAAATTACAAAGACATTTCCTTTTTTCACGGTAAATTAGCTCATGCAATTAATGATCATGTGTGTGATATTTCTTTATATAGAAGGTAATTAATGAAATTGACGGGAAATTGTTTCTAAATTTGATTTATGTTAATCCTTATTATATATATATAT